TCCCAAACAACTCTTTTATTCCTTCTTCTCTTTCCTCAACCTCCACACCTTCTTCTCTATCCTTGTTCTCAACTGATACTGCTGCTTGCTTCTTTATAGAAAAAATAGAAACTATCAGAACACGTATTTCTCAAATTCTCACCACATGGGTCCCTTTCCAGCATTTGTACCCACTCTGGAAGCTTCTTTCTTGCCTGTTTCCCATGCCTCTGTCTAAAGCCAATCTCTCCTCTTAGGAACCCATTCTCTCTTTCTCTTCCTTCATCACAACTTTACAGTTCTCCCTGGAAGAATTTTCTTGAAAAGGCAATTTATATTTGCTCTAGAAGTCCTTTACTGCCATTCTTTCTTATTTTTTTCCCATGTTTATTTATTTTGAGAGACAGAGAGAAAGAGAGAGTAGGCAGGGGAAGGGCAGGGCGAGAAAGAGAGAGAGAATCCCAAGCAGGCTCCATGCCATCAGCACAGAGCCCAATGCCAGCTTGCTCTTGCAAACTGTGAGATCATGACTTGAGCCAAAATAGAGTTGGATGTTTAACCGACAGAGCCTCCCAGGAGTCCTCTTTTTTAAAAAATTTTTTCATCCTCCCATTCTCTCTTAAATCTATTTTGTTCAGCGTTTGCCCCATCAATTTCAACAAAATTACTCTTGTCAAGATCAGTAAAAACCTCTACATTGTTAAATCCACTAGTGAATTCTGACTCCGTCCTTATCCCACCGAACTTGTTAGCTACATTTGACAGAGATGATAACTCTTTCCTTCTTAATAACTTTCTTCATCTCAATTCAGAACACAGCACTCACCAGAATATTTCCTCCTACCTAACAGGTTATTCCTTCTCCATAGCCTTTGCTGGTATTGCCCATCATCCCCTCTTTCACTGAATTTGGTTTTTGGTCTTCTACCTACACTCATTCCATATCATCTATATAGTGACATTTGTATCTTCAGACTGGACCTTCAGCTGCCTATGTGATACATCTATTCAGACACCAAGTAGTCAAACTTTAAGTGAACTTCTGGTATTTCTCCCTCTTCACCAAACCAGCTTTTCTGACAACCTCTCACATTTCAGACCATAGCAAATCCTTTCTGACAGTTGTTTAGGACAAAAATCTTGCCGTTTTCCTCATTTTTTTTCCTCATATACTACATCCACTCCACCATGAAATCCTATTGGATCTACCTTAAAAATATGACTAATATCCACCCATTTCTCTATACCTCCCCTATTTCACCTTTGAGCTGAGTTGGCTTCATCTCTCAACTTACTGCTATAATAACCTCCGAACTGGCCTTCTTGCTTCCACTTTGTTCCCCTTCAATCCAATCTCAACCACAATGAGTAAAATTCATAAATAGAAGTTAGATCATGTCACTCTTCTCAAAGACCTGAATTTGCTCCTCATTTCACTTTGAGTAAAAGTCAAAGTCTTTAGAATGGCCTATTAGGTCCTACATGATCTATCTGCACACCCCTTCTTGCTTACAAATTTTACATATTTCAGGGAATTTCGGCAATTTGATTTGACTAGGATGCTTAAGAATCAGAAACTTTAGAGGTTTCTTTGAAGTTTTCCCCTTTACCGCAGTACATCCAATCAGTTATCACACCCTGTTGATTATTCTTTCCCTATATCTCTCAAATCCATTTACATCTTTCCATTGCTGATGGCATTGTTTCTCCCCACCTCCAATTTTACCCCATCTCAAATCTATCTACCACATTTAATACTAAAGTGATCTTTCTAGTTAAATGTAAACCTACTTATATCATTCCTAAATCTGTCCAACTCCAAAGGTCTTTCATTTTAACAACTTTTTTTGATGATTCATAAATTGATACTTGGTTTATATAAGGCAGTGCCTTTCAAGTAGAAAATTTTCATTATAATTCAAGCTACTCTTGAAATGTCTATTATAATAAACTCATTTGGTCACTTATTCAAAGTGTTGTTATAGCATACAATTCATTTTTGAGGGTATATTAGTCTTTGTTCTATCAATAACATTTTGTCAAGATTAATTCCTTTGTGCATGTCATTATTGATAAAATAAACTTAGATTTATGTAACAATTTAGATTATATTTTTTAATTCAATAAAAGGTCAGCCCTACATAAGTATGTACAGACCTAGGCTATTTCTATCTTAAGGTCACTATAGATTTTAAAATATAATATTAGAGAGGAAAAATAATAACATTAATGATGATAGCATTAAAGAAGAATATTAGTTTCCATAGTTTACAAAATGTGTTCACATAAATAAGGTATAAGATGTATAAGATGTTTCAAGTTAGTAAGTGCCTACCTTAAAAGTTTTATTATAAAATTCAAAGTTTTATTTTTTTAGGTAGAAAAAATCAGCATTGTCCTACCACACTATTACTAAAGATCAATCTATTCTAAAATTTTTGATATCATATGGAGGTGACATATTACATTAGGAAACCATAGTAACATGCTGTTTGAAACTACTTCAACCTTTAAAAGATTAGATTTCATTTCTAAGGTCAGACCTGAAAATATCAATTTTGGATGTATGGCAAATTACAATTTCTCCACACATTTTGGATTGTACCACTGGAGTCCTGGCAGCAGTAAAATGTGTGTTTTTTTATCCTCTCCCTCTGGTGGTCAGAGGTTTGAAACTAGACCCATTGTTTCTTTGAGTCTTAATTTTTAAATAAATAAATAAAATTTCTATCTACCTCAAAGGACGCGCTGAAAAAATTCAAAAATTAATCATCCAAAGAAACACTCAGTGTACTAACTAAAATAAAGCTGAGAAAGATTTTCCTAAAGCAAGAATCAGAGTACTTGTCATTTCTCCCATTTTAGAATTTTAAATCTGGTACTAGTTATTCAAATCTGTATTAATTGAGTAATAATTATACATGCAGAACCCTTTCTGGAATCCACATACCATTTTTATTCAAAAATCATATCCCATCCTTCCTCTCCTATAAAGTTAAATCTGGTACATAGCAGACATATAATAAAGTTTTATGTTCAATGAATTAATGCTAGGCTTCATTAATATCATAATGACTACTACTAACATGTATTGAGCATTAACTATGTGCCAGACACAGTGCTAATTACCCTACTGCATTATCAGGCTATAGGGTAAGTTAATGTAATTAATTACTTGTTAGTTTAATTCTATGCCTAAGAACACAATAGCATAAAGAGATTAAGTCTCATATCTAGGTAAAATGTTTAGTCCATGGTTAGTAAACAAACAGGTAGCCTGACTTCAGTGCCCACAATGCATCAGGGATCCATTCATTCTATCTTACAATTCTAGAAAGAGGAGAGAAAATATTAAAGAAGTAAACAAGTGAACAACGTAATTTCAGGCAATGAATAGGGATATGGAAAAAGGAAAAGAGGATAATTTGACCAGAGTGACAATAGCAATGTTGAAAAGTGGTTAAGAACATGGACTCTACCACCCATGAATCCTAGCTCTGCTATTATGGGCTAGTTAGCTATTTATCTTCTGTCTGTGTTTCCTGGTCTATATGTAATAGGACCTAATACACATATCTGTTATGAGATTTAAATGATTTAATACACATAGAATGTCTAAAATAGTGTATGATACATAGTGTTAAAGTATTTGCTTGAAACTTACTGGTTATTGATATTACTATGATTGTTCTTTTTGCATCTTTGCTTTTACAATTGTCATCATATTGAGGGTATTACTCAAAATATGGTGATGTGGACGGGCCTCTAGGAGAAAGTGTATTTGAGCCAAAACTCAAATGACACTCAGCCACATGAAAATTTGAAGACAGAGATTCAAGGCAGCAGGAACCAACATACAAAAGCCCCACACTAGAATGCCTAGAAAAGAAGTATGGGCTGAGATGAGTTTGCTAAAGCTTAGGTTAAAGAGCTGGTCAGAGCTAGGTTATACTGAACTTCACTGGCCATAGTGAGGAATTGGATTTTATTCAAAGTTCAGTGATAAGCCACTGAGCTTATTTTGATTCACCTTTTATAAATATCACTCTGGTTGCTGTGAAAAGATTAGATAATAGCTTCCATAAAATATCAATGTCACCACTTTCATTAATCATTATTTTTTAGACATTAGTTTTCCTAGGGGAAAATAATTTTCTGGCTATATTTTTGGAATGTTTGTCTCAGAGCTCTTAAAAGTACAGTCAGAGCAAAGGACCTAAGTACAGTGCATACATTTATACATATACACAATACTCTTTTGAACAAAGGTTACATGGAATATCCATATAGATGATGCCTTATGATTCTAAAATCCATATTAATCATATCTAGTATATTTAAAAATCATATCTCTTTGAAGGAAAGTAGTAGAATAGTTCACTTACTTTAATATAAGTAAGGAAATTCTTTAGGCCCCACTTCTCATATTTCTGTTATTTGGACTTACCAGTTATTAGCTTCTTGCCCCCAGAGAAAGGAAACATTGCAAATTCGACTGGGTAGAACCAGGTATGTGTTAACAGTGGGTGTGGTTACTTTCTTCAATCCTCTCCTTACCCCTAGCCTTATTTCCTCACACTCTCCTCTCCAATTTCACCTTGGTTTGAGTAGATTGAAAGCCCACTTAGGCCAACCATCCAACTCAATCTTACCAGGTTGATGCAGGTTCTGGGGCCTCAAATTAGCTATTAACAAAATCATATATTGAGTTGATACCACTGTGTGAAGAAGGGTAAATAGCAGTGGAAGAAAGGCATTTGCATGTCTCTGGTTGTTTTACTGCCATAATAGCATTAAATTATCATCTTTGAATATGTAACCCCTGAAAGGCCATTAATATATTCAATAAGAATATTTTATCCACACTCTGACAAAAATTGTAATGCTCTACATTGCTATACTTGTAGAGGAACGGAAAGCACAGTGCAATTGGTACAAAGATTCCTCTTAATTCCTTCAACTCATTAAGGTTTTAGTTTTAAAAGTTCAAAAATATAGCTACATAAAGTGAACTGCTTTACCTGCATGGCTAGTTCCATCGTTCGTGACTTCTGTGGATCCCACAGAAGAGGTAAGTGGACTAACAGGAGGGTTGGAAGTAAAGCTTGCACACCCTGCAGACGTGTTGATTTCAAAATATTCTTGGTTGTGATTCATTCGATGAAAATCCAGAGAAGACACAATAGATGTTCGTTGTTTAGGCTAAAATAAATAAGTATGATGAGAGTATTAATATGATCATATTCATCTTCAGCCCAATCTCATTGATTTAATCTGAGTGATGATTTTATCAGTTAAACTATCTGTTTTTTATACTTAAATATAATTGTACTTTACAGAGAGATATTAAATAATCCCTGGATGAATTAAACCATGAAAAAATTGTTTAATAAAAAATATTTTGGCATAGCTGATAAAATAAATTAGACTTTTTGTTAGATTTCCCCAGAAGACTGTACAAATATAGTACCCCAATTTTTTAATAATCAATTCAGAAAGTCACAATTTTAAAGTCACCTTTCATTTAACTAACATTTATTAAACATATGGCATTTGTCAGACCCTGAGGATATAGAGTCTAGTAATAAAAAGAAAACCTCTTACAACGTTGAAGCATAATTAAAGCAGTTCTGTTTTTGTTGTTGTTGTGTGTTGTTGTTCTTTATATAGTCCAAGGAATTGATAGCATTAGATATTTTCCCCAAGTACCATATGCTGGAATTTGATCATCAGTATTAACTAAAGTATATAGAACATTTTCCAGGACTTAAGAATCTACTTGGTATTTATAGTGAACTTTGATTTCCTTTTTTAAGGATTTTAATTAATCCCTAAATAGAAAGAAAAGTCAATTTAAACATAAAAGTTAAAATCATGGAGTAATAGCAGATATAATTTACATCCTTTGTCAGTAATGAATTGCTCCCTACAGCAATTTTCTGTTTTTTTTTTTCTATAGTTTTAATTATATACACTTTCTTCCTAACTAGCAGAGCTTCTAACATTGTCCTTGGCAGTCTTTTGGCTCTCAGAATTGTGTGCATTTCCCAAGATTCAATCCAAGTTTTCTTACTTATTATTCTCAGTTATATTATGGAAATATTAACAATCTCCTATAATAATTAACAAAAGATTAGCTTCAATCTCTTTACAATAAATTTTACTGTACTTTACTACCTCCAAAGTATAATAAACTTTTGGTTTATTTTTATTATTTTTTTTTAAATGTTTGATTTATTTCTAGGAGAGAGAGAGAGAGAGACAGCTTGAGCAGGGAAGGGTCAGAGAGAGGGAGTCACAGACTGAAACAGGCTCCAGGCTCTGAGCTGGCAGTCAGCACAGAGCCCGACGCGGGGCTCGAACCCACGAACCGCGAGATCATGACCTAAGCGAAAGTCGGACGCTTAACCGACTAAGCCACCCAGGCGCCCCTATTTTTATTATTTTTTAAATGTTTGCTTATTTTTGACAGAGAGAGCGACAGAGTGTGAGCAGGGGAGGGTCAGAAAGAGAGGGAGACACAGAATCCAAAGCAGGCTCAGGCTCTGAATTGTCAGCACAGAGCCTGACGTGGGGCTCGAACTCACGAGCCGCCAAGATCATGACCTGAGCCGAAGTCAGACGCTTAGCTTACTGAGCCACCCGGGCACCTCACTTTTGATTGATTTTGATCACTTCCCTCAAATGCTGCTTTATTTAACCACTATATTCCATAGATTATTTTCTTGCAAAATATTCAAGTTTCCTTCTCTTCCAGCTCATCATGTTTTTGTTTTTAAGTAGGTAACCTTTAGTCTATAATCTAAATAAACAATGATAATGAAGAGGTCTTTAATTTACAGGTTTTTTTTTAAATATAAGGGGTGCAAATGATCACAATATGCTTTATTATATCACCATTGCAATATTTTTCTGAAAAAAGAGTTTTAGAGGCACTGTAATACAAGCAAGTCACTTATTATTATGATATATCAATTCAGTAGTAGAATTCAAATTAGTACCCACATAGGATTCAGTTTCCTTTGAAGTATGAAAGTTTGGGGTACAGTGTCTGGCTTGGTTTCTCACAAAATGTCCTTAGGGCTACGGAATTTCATTTCACATTCATGTTTTTGGTACTAGATGATATAACAGCAATTAAAAGGCATGAAATATGACACTGGCTCCAATGGAAACTCAGGTATGGTCATCATTTTGGTTTTGTTTTATTGTGTTGTGTTGTGATTTTGTTTCACTTCATATATAAGCAACGGGCCAAATTTGTATAATGTTCTGTCTCACAAACTTTATAAAGATCAAGCCAACTGATACATATGACTCCTTTAGTTCTGTGTCTTTTTTTTTTTAAGTTTATTTATTTATTTTGAGAGAGAGAGACAGAGAAAGAGCATGCAATCAAGGGAGGGACATAGAAAGAGGGAAACAGAGAATCCAAAGCAGGCTCTGCACTATCAGTGCAGAGCTTGATACAGGACTTTAACTAACAAACCATGAGATCTTGATACAGGGCTTTAACTAACAAACCATGAGATCATGGCCTGAGCCAAATCCAAGAGTTGGACGTTTAACCTACTGAGTCACCCAGGCACCTCTTTACTTCTGTTTCATAAACACATGTTTCTGAATTTTACTACCCAAAGCTTTAATTATATTAAAATCAGAATTTGTTATACAATCATGAAAGCAAACAGGTTATTTTTTG